CACCAAACCAGACCAGACACACGTTACCAAACAAACACCACCACAACATATAGAAATTTTAAACTGCTGTTACAGTAATGCGCTACACCGTATTATGCCGTATAGAGAGGAAGTTTTTCTAACTTCTGGTGAAAAAATCATGAAGATCGACCTGTAACTTCCAGAGATATCCACAAAAGATCGCTTACTGTATATCGCACCACAGGATGTACATTTCTAGATCGTGTTCACAAATGAGTCCTGCCAAGTAATAACTTTAAGACAGATCTAGATATCTAGAAGATGTATAATCTAGACTTTCTAGAATCTAGATCTAGATCTAGATTAGATATATTATATATCTAGATCTAGATCTAGATCTCTAGCGATCGAGTCGGGCGATCGGCCCGATCCAGCTGTAAGTGGGCACCCCGTATATAGATCTAATATAAACCCTAGATCTACGGTCTACCCCTCCTAGCCCTCAATTCTGCTCTGTCTTGTCTCATAGATCTAGTGGTCGCTCTTCACGGAAGTCCTCCCACAGTAATTCTCTTATTTCGATGCTGCAGAACAACATACATTTGGGAACATAAACAAACTTTTTACTTACTCAGTATTTTTCTGCTTTCGGTTCGGCTTAAGATAGCTTGCGCTAGTCACTGCTGTGCTAGGCTATGCAAGGCCAAAGCAACGCGCCAAATTTCGCGAAGGAGCAAAATAAAAACTTCCGGGTGACTATGGCTCCTTCGTCAAAAAAAAAGTTCACTGATTTGCAAGTTCAAAAAATGAAATATAATCTTGCTTTCAAGACTGATGTCACAATCGTTTAATAGGCCTATAAGACATAATAAGTACATGGCTTGTGCTGTTGATCACTCTAGAATATAGGGAGCGGTATTATACAAAGGCTAGCAGAGAAACTGTACACAAACCGACAGTAGGCAACGGGAAACCACTGCTGTGATATCCCAAGAACAGTCATGGAAAAGTACATTCATTTATCAGATAACAACGTTAAGGGGGTTCATGATCCAGCTCTGAACTCCCCGCTCGGTAGGGACCGCCACGGGCAGCAGGTGGCACCCGATCGTCATCCAGCTACTAGCTGCAAAAATATGCAACTTAACATCGCC